GAGGAGCAGGAAAGTTGACGTTTTGGGTCAAGACCCTTCTTCAGAAAAGTGAGGAGTTTCTTTTCTGAAGAAGGGTCCTGACCCGAAACGTCAACTTTCCTGCTCCTCTAATGCTGCCTGGCCTGCTGTGTTCCTCCAGCTCCACACTGTGTTACATGTTAAGATCAGACTGAAGGACACTGAGGTACCAAATGGGAACCTTGTTGTTAAAGGAGTCTAGGGCTGCCTTCACTAAAGTCTGCAGCACCAAGGACAGTGCTTCTCACCTCATTCACTGAGGATAAAGATTCTTTCTTGAGAGCATGAAAGGATGACGGCTAAATTTATTAATGGCGCAGTTTTCTGTACACTGATCTCGGAGATTGGAAAATTATGTAAGTGTTTGTTGAAACAACTAAAGAGGGACTTTGGTTTTTCCAGTCATTCAAAATTTGTTTGCAGAAAGATTAAGGAAATTGGAGTTATTCACTTCAGAAGAAACTAATTGTGACGTGACCCCATTAGAATTTTTAAGCTAGATCAGTAACTAGTCCGAGCAAAGTATTCAAATCCCATGGGTTGTAAATGGATAAAATCAGCAGAGCAAGGGAACATTTTTAGACAAAGGATAATCATGACTTGTTTTAATAAATTACCAGGTAAAAGCATTAACCCAGACAGCGACAGTCAAATCAAAACTGTTCTAGAGAGAGATGGGACTGATGGTGAAGATGGGAAGAATAGCTGCAATTATTTCTTATATTAAGGCACTTTGTTGACTTTTCCCAGCATTGTAAAGAATCATTTATGGGAGACAATTTGAATGAGTGGGGAGACTTACCTCTTTTGTGAAAGAGCTGTCTGGAGGGGCAATTATCCTCTGATTAGGAGACAGTGAAGGTGAATTTACACGGCAATTCTTCCTGTCTGTGAGTGTAAGCATCACATCTGGTCACATGAGAAAAGCCAACAACTAAATGGCACTAATTGGGAAGAGGCCCCATTCGTGAGATCCCTAGGAAGACAGAGCTTTACTGTGTAAGGTGGCAAACGATGGCCTGTTGGTGTTATCGCGGGACGGTTAAACTAGCGACCCAGGTAATTATTCTGGGGGCTTGGGTTCGAATCCTGCCATGACAGATGTTGGAATTTGAATTCAATAAAAATCTGGAATTAAGAGTCTAATGATGACCATAAATCCATTGCCGATTATTGGAAAAACCCAAATGGGCCACTAATGGCCTTCAGGGAGGAAAATTGCCCTCCCTACCTGGTTTGGCCCACATGTGACTCCAGACCTACAGCAATACGGTTGACTCTTAATCCTGCTGTGGACAATTAGGGATGGGCAATAAATGATGGCCTAGCCAGTGATGCCCTCATCCCGTGAATTAATAAAACAAAAATGATATTGTGAACTGGCCATCTGTTATGAATTTCCTTGTTCTTATTCCCACAGCAATCGAGTGACTGGTGTGTACGAACTGAGCCTATGCCGAGTCGCCGATGCTGTTAGCCCAGGTTGGAGCTGTAGTTCTTGTGTCTGACAAATCTTGCTGGTTAAACTTGTGGAAATGTGGTCTTTTCTTTTGGAAGGATGTTGGGTTATTGAGAGCCCTCACGTTGCAGTATGCATGCCAGAGGTGACGAAGCACAAGAGGTCCTTCACGGGTTGTGGGTGGGCAACATTAAGGCCATAATATAAGCTACAGCTATATCCATCATTTGGCAGCATTTATTGTAGGGGATAAATGCTGAAGTAAATACCAGACGCTTCTTTGCAGCAATGGTGAGTTGAGAAAATATTGATGAAAAGTGAGAGGGCTGAAGGTATGAGATTTATTTCCATGATGCTTTTTATTTCTGGGGCCTGATTGTGACAGTTCTGCCACTGTCACCATGGTGCCCCACGGGACCATGGCCCATTTGCGTGTTGGGAGTCAACTCCTTTGCTCTTTGTCAAACACCAGCAATTTGACCAATGATAGAGACCCTCCATTGGGGTCCTTTTATTGCTGGGACAACTTTCTGGCCCTTGTCCTGCATGCACCTTTGCTCCTTTCGGCGAATTGGCTCAACTGCCGTTTTGTGGCCTATAGGGACACTCAGACTCTGTATCCTTTACAGGCATGCAGCGAAGACGTAGACGGGTCCTTGACACCTCCGTCGCCTACGTTCGTGGGGAAGAGAACCTGGCCGGGTGGCGGCCTCGAAGTGACAGCCTCATTCTGGACCACCAATGGGAATTGGAGAAACTGAGCCTTTTACAAGAGGTGCGTGAACCACATGACCGGGCATTCCTCGGATGGTGGGAAAGATTGACATTGTACCCAACTTTATCGGAAGGAAAGTTTTTCTTTGTCCTCTTCACCTGAAGGAAGTGATTCTTGCTGGGATTTGAGTTCCACCGACACTGGGTGCTGTTTGGGATCCCATCAGTTCTTCATTTGTGAACTCAGACACTGAGTTTCAGCAGGCCCTCCCACTGTTAGCAGGACTTGGAGAGCATCCCTACTGACATCAGTCATTGCCTTTGATCAGTGGACACAGAGGACTAGGTTTTGTTACACTTCCCCCTTTCCCAATCTATCGCCATTCAGATAAGAATCTGCCTTCCTGACTTCATCTGCCCATTGTATTTGCCCACTCACTAACCCTAACGCATCCTCCTCACAGCTCACCCTCCCATGCAGCATTGTTGTGTCTGCAATCTTTGTGATATTGCCTTTAGTTCCCTCATTTAAATCATTAATATATATTGTGAATGGTTGTGGTCCTAGCACTGATCCTGACCAGTCACTGCCTGGCACTTCAAAAAAGTCCCATTTGTTCCTACTCTTTGTTTCCTGTCTGCCAACTAGTTCTCTGCACTGCCCCCCAATCCATGCACTTTAATTCTATATGCTAATCTCTTATGTCGGACCCTATCAAAAGCCTTCTGAAAGTCTAAGTAACCCACATCCACTGGTGCTCCCTGATCAACTCTACTCATTACATCCCTGAAAAATTCCAGGAGATTTGTCAACATGATTTCCCTTTCATAAATCCATACTGACCCTGTCCGATCTTGTCACTGTTTCCCAAGAGCTCTGCTTTTAAATAATTTTTAATGTTCTGTAGCATTTCCTCCACTACCAACATTAGGTAACTGGTCTATAGTTCCCTGTTTTCTCTTTCTACTTTTTTTTAAAAATTTAATACCTCATCCATAGGAACTGTTTGAGAGTCCACAGAATCTTGAAAGGTCACCATCAATGCATCTACTATTTCCTTAAGTACTCTGGGATATAGATTATCGGGCCCTATGGATTTATTGGCTCTTAACCTCTTCGAAGTCTCCAACACTATTTCCCTACCAATATTGATTTCATTCAGTTTCTTCCACGCACTAGACCATTCATTCTGCAACATTTTTTGGATGTTATTTGTGCCTTTCTTTGTGAAGATAAAATCACAATATGTATTTAATAAGATGCAACACATGCCCACACACCACCTCCCTCACCACCATTCAAGGCCCTAAACAGCCCTCCCAAGTGAGACAGAGCTTCACCTGCATCTCCTCCAACCTAGTCTATTGCATCTGGTGCTCCCAATGTGGTCTTCTCTACATCGGTGAGACAAAACATAGATTAGGTGATTGTTTTTGCTGAGCGTCTCTGCCTGGCCTGTTACGGCCAACCTAACCTCCCGGGCACCCACCGCCCATTTCAACTCCCCGTCCCACTCCCCCTCTGACATGCCCGTCCTCAGCCTCGTCCAGGGTCATAGCGACTCAGAACGCAAATTTGAAAAACAGCACCTTATCTTCCGCCTAGACACCCTACAGCCCGGAGGACTCAACATTGAGTTCTCCAATTTCAAATCACCTTCCCACCCATACCCTGCCTTCCCTGCCAGCCCCACCTCCTCCCTTCCATTCCACCTTCTGACCCTCCCTTCCAGCCGCTGACCAGATTCATCCCTCCCATCGACCAACCAGGTCGTAACTACCACCAGTATCCATTTATCACCACCATTCTGCTTTCCCCTCTCCCCAACCTTTATCTACAACTCCCCCTACGCCCACATCCAGTCCTGAAGAAGGATAATACCTAAAACGTTGACTGCTTCTTTCCTCCAGATGCTGTCTGGCCTGCTGTGTTCTTCCAGCCTCCTGTTTGTCTACTGTGTATTTAATTGGTCTGTCATCTCTTTGTTCCTCATTATAATTTCTCCCGTTTCAGACTGTAAGGGGCCTAGATTTGTCATCACTAATCTTCTTTCTCTTCACAGAACTATCGAAGCTATTACAATCAGTTTGCGTGTTCCCCCACAAGTATACTCTTGTACTCTGTTTTTCACTTCATCCTTAAGCAGAGAGCAATCATATTTTGAGGTAATGTAAAATTTTTTGTTGAGATCCTTGCCTGTTTATTGACCTGCAGGTGGAAAAGACCCGACACTATCTGTTATTGCGTGAGAAGCTGGAGAGCACACTGAGGTCAGGTTGCGATTCGGTCTCCTCTTACACCAGTGAGGACCTCAGCGAATCCCAAAGCATCTCCTCAACGTACAGTCTACACTCAACAGGCAGCAATGACATGCCAACGTCTACCTGCACCACTACTGAACGGCAGAAAGAGTTAGCAGCTAAGGTAAGGAACCAAAGAGTATTCCCTCTAGGAGAGCATAAGGTCGAAGGAAGTGAAGCTTGAGCTATTGCCCATCCCTCAATAGAATATAAATTCTGCCTCAAGTCCTTTTTGGTGAATTTGTGTTCTTATTGAGTGAAGGATGCTAATTAATGGAATGGTACTATTTTTCACTCTCTATCCCAGTGTCACCAACAAACTCCCAGGACAGATACAGCATGAGTAAGATGTGCTGTAATGGTCCCCCTGTGCTGTAGGTGAAAATATTGTGCATGCCTTAATTGTAATCTTTCATCGATTTGGGATCCCTTTAATTGGAAAATACCCCTCTCCCATTGTTGTCTGATAAAGCTGATGGAGGAAAATTGAGGGGTTATAAATCAATTAATCAAATGTTAGAGTCTACATTTAAGGACAATGTGACTGGAAACTTAAATAGTCAGTTGATTTTAAAGGGTAGGTCACGTCTGACAAGTCTGATTGAATTTTTTGTTGCTGATTGTTGGAGAAACTTATCTGATTCATTAACGCCCTTTAGAGGATGGAACCTGCTGTTTTTACCTGGTCTGACTGCATGTAAGTCCAAGCCTACATCAATGTGGTTAGCTTTTGCCTGCCCTTTGGGCATGAGGAGGGAACTGGCTCAGCAGTGAACAGAAAGGTTTGTTGATGAAACAACATAATCAGAAACTAATAGGTGTTGTTCTCTCTTCCAGTGCCTCCGACTCCTATCTCACACATTTAATAGGGAGTACAGCCATGTCTGTATCAGCGCCAGTGAGAGCAAGGTATGCTGACACTTTGTGAGATTTACTTTAACTTAACTTAATATGGTGTGCATCTTGACATCATTTTCTGGTGGTGGTGTATTTGTGCAAGTACCAATCAATGGACAAGTGTGAGGAAATGGGTAGCTTGGAGAGGGTATCTGTTGGATGGCAAGTCCTGGATATTTAATGCATGGCCAATTATGGGATGGCCATGACAACAGCTCAAAGGAACCCAACCCCACAGCAACATAGAGTATAGGACTATCCAAGGGTAACATGGGAAGGTACATCAAATTAGGAGAGTACTCATTGTGGGAGATTTCTTAGTCAGGGCTACAGACAACCCTTTGCAATCAGGATCAGGAGTTTTGATTGATACAATACATTTTGGATATCACCATCAAATGGAGAGACTGTAACCAAAAGATATTATACAATACTTTGTATATTGTATACCTTTAGAATCCCTTATGTACCTTTAAATATCATAGCCCCATATACAAATATCTTTATATACCTTAAATAAGTTTAGTATACCTTATACAATACCTTCTATATTGCAGAATACTATTAAAGGATACACAATGGAATAAATGACGTGTGTTTCTGGTCGTGCAGAAGATGTTGAGGAGAAGTGAGCATTCTAGATTGCTATTGCAAAGGACTGTCACAGTCACAGTGGGTCAAATGCAATGTGATTCTCTGGGTTCTATAAATGTAGTTTCCTGAGCCTCATTTGGAAGTAGTATTAATGCAGTTGGCTTCCATGATCATTGTTTGAAACAAAAGAAAGAGTAATTACCTTGGGGTTCCCACTCCAGGTTTGAGCAATGTGCCTAACTGTGACACCCCAACAGTCAAACACATTTCTAATCATCGCTACCAAGCCTCACACACATGACTGCCCAGGCACAGTTGGCCTCCATAGAGCTGGACTCTGTGTCTTTGGAAGGGAGTAGGAATGGAAGAAGAGGGAAAAGTGACTGGCATCAAAGTAATGAAGATTGTCTGTTAGAAGGTAAATACAAGAAAATCTCACACTGTTCTCCTTCTTGTTTTACAGATATCTGAGATGTCTGTCACACTGACAAGGGACACATCATTCTCCACATTGAGCAACACCACACTGCCCCCTTCCTCGACCTGTCCGTCTCTGCTGGAAGGACAGTACGTCTCCCCAGAGCTCAGGTTAGAGCCCACATTTTTCAGTAAATTCCTAACTTATCTTTACATATTCTCTCCAACATCTGCAGTAACACATGAAGCGACAAGCTTCCTCCTGAGCAGCTATATCAGGGTATAGTTAGCCTTTAATAAGTAGCCCATTGGGCCCTCTTGTGGCACAGTGGTAGTGCCCCTACCCCTGGAGGGACTGCGAGGCCTGGTTTAAGTCCCACCTGCTCCAGAGGCCTGTAGTAATATCTCTGAACAGATTGATTAGAAAAAAAGTGCTATATAAATGCAAGTTCATTTAAAAAACAGCAAGTAGCCCATTGGGCCCTCTGTGGCACAGTAGTAGTGTCCCTACTCCTGGACCAGGAGACCTGAGTTCAAGTCCCACCTGCTCCAAAGGTGTGTAATAAAATCTGTGAATAGGTTGATTTTTTTAAAAAAGGTTTTTTTAAAAATTGAAGAAACCGCACTCTGGCATCTAACCCTATTAAAAAAGAACAAGTAGCCCATTAAGGGCTAGTGGTAGTGTCCCAATCTCTGAGTCAGGAGGCCTAGAAACTATAAACAAGGTTGACTAGAAAATATAATCAAGGTCCCCATGTTTAGAGAGTGAGACAGTGAAGGTTGCAAGGTATATAAACTTCTGTTACATTCAGGGACTTGGCATTGAAAGAGAGTGAGGGATGTAGTATCTGTCAGAGACTGTGATAGTGAGATGTGCAGATGGTCATATCAGAGATTACTATAATTTAAGGTGCACCACAAAGTATTAAACTGAAATGCGAGAAGTATGTTTGGAATTGTCACAGTGAGGAACATGTGGTCCATAAAAAGCATTATTATAAGGTATGTTAGCTTGTTAAAATGAAGGGTTGCATACCACTATAGAATATGGGTTACATCAGAGTGTTACTAACTAAAACAGAGAATGTTTCAGTGAGGTACTGGGAGATATAGAGAGGTGTAAATAACATGAAATCTCTGAACGAGCTAATCAGCAAAGGACAACTGGAGGCAAGCAATCTCTGCTGGCCTTGCCTGCAATGCCTATATCATGTTAATTGAAAGAAAGTCATCAATCTCTAGATTAGGTGACCAAAGCATGTGTGGGGATGAAGGGCCATCTTTTAAATTCTTTTCTCTCTGTACTAGGACCCCTGAGGCCCAATCCAGAGCAATCAGTCCAGATCCTGATTCACTACAAGAAGGTGAACTGAAGAAATCTCCTGTTGCCGGCAAGGATGAGAAAGGCAGCCCTCGCATGTTTGTAGCTGACATCCAGGAGATTAGAGTGAGGTACAGGGAAAATGTGACCTCTCCTCCTTTTCACAGGCTTATACAGCGTCAATGATGTCAGCCACTCCTTTCCAGTGGTCACAATCTCTCCTTTCATATTGTTTACAAATTGATTATATTGTCCATTCGGGAGGCCCACACAGTGTGCTACTGAGTCACATGAGCTTGATTTGCTGCACTTGTGAGGGGGCTGCAGCCAAGACAGCCATAAGAGAAACTTGATACTTCTAGGTAGGTGGACTCCTGTTCCCTTATAAATCCATGGCCTCCTTATAAATTCAGGCACCTTTTGGAAACCCTTTGTCCCAGTCCACAATAAGAGGGTTTTTGGGAAGGAGACTAGGAACTGCAAAACCTGCCCTTGCTGGCACAGACCTTTTACTTGGAAAGCATGGGGTATAGAATCGGACAAAGCCTATTTCACCATTCATTGGATTATGGCCTGTCTGTATTTTCACCTCACTTACCTGCCTTTGTGCCATAACCCATACTGAAAGAGAATCTAACAGTCTTAGTTTTGGCATTTTATTTGGCCCCACAGCCACAATGGCTTTTTTTTAGTGAGCTAGATATTTCCAGTGTACTTTATCTGAAGTAGTGTTTTCTGATCACTCCTGCACAGCCTAGTTTTAACTTCAATATTACATCCCCATTATCAGGGATTCTAACACATGATAAATAGTTTCTTTCTGTTTACCCTTCCAAGCCCTTTAATCATCTTAAATGCCTCAAGGAGTTTATTCATTCATCTTCAATGCTCAGAGGAGCACAGCCAGTCAATACAACCTGTCCTCAATGTAATTCTTTTAATCCCAGAATCATTCTCGTAAATCTGTAACCTGCACATGGCTAAAATATCCTTTCGGAAGATATGGTGTTCAGAATTGAAGGTGGTATTCCAGGTGCAGTTTAACCAGAGCTCTAAATACTTAGAGTCATTGAGTCATACAGCACAGAAACAGACCCATCGATCCAACTCATCCACGCGGACCAAACATCCCAATCTGACCTCATTCCATTTTGCCAGCATTTGGCCCATATCCCTCTAAACCGTTCCTATTCATGTACCCATCCAGATGCCTTTTAAATGTTGTAATTGTACCAGCCTCCACCACTTCTTCTGGCAGCTTGTTCCATACAGACACCAACCTCTTCATGAAAAATTTACCCTACACGTCCTTTTGAAACCTTTCCCCTCTCACCTTAAACCTATGACCTCTAGTTTTGATCTCCCCCATCCTAGGAAAAAGACCTTGGCTATTCACCCTGTCCATGCCCCTCATGATTTTATAAACCTCTATGAAGTCACTTCTCAGTCTCTGATGCTCCAGGGGAAAAAAACCCCAGTCTATGCAGCCCCTCCCGATAGCTCAAACCCTCCAGTCCCAGCAGCATCCTTGTAAATCTTTTCTGCACCCTCTCAAGTTTAACAACATCCTTCCTATAGAAGGGTGATCAGAATTGTACGCTGTATTCCAAAAATGGTCCCACCAATATCCTGTATAGTCACAACATGACATTCTAACTCCTATACTCAATTCACTGACCAATAAAGGCAAGCGTATCAAACACCTTCTCCATCACCCTGTCTACCTGCAACACGACTTTCAAGGAACTATGCACCTGCACTCCTAAGTTTGTTTGTTCAGCAACACTCCCCAGGGCCCAACCATTAACTGTAAAAGTCCTGCCCTGGTTTGCCTTACCAAAATGCAACACTTCAAATTTATCTGAATTAAATCTTTGTAAGATTACAATCAATTGGGTCAATGGGCTGAGGAGTGGCAGATGGAGTTTAACTTGGACAAATACGAGGTATTGCATTTTGGTAAAGCAAACAAGGGCAGGACTTGTACTATTGATGGTAGTGCCCTAGGTAGTACTGTAGAACAGAGAGACCTAGGGATTCAGGCACATAATTCTTTGAAATTTGTGTCTCATGTAGACGGGGTGGTTAAGAAGACATTTAACTTGCTTGTCTTCATTGCTCAGACCTTTGAATAGAAGTTGGGACATCATGTCGATGTAGTACAGGATGTTGGTGAGCCCTTTTCTGGAGTATTGTGTGTAGTTCTGGTTGCCCTGCTAAAGGAAGTATATTATTAAATTGGAGAAGGTGCAGAAAAGATTTACCAGGATGTTGCCAGGACTGGAGAGTTTGAGTTATAAAGATAGTCTGGGACTTTTTACACTGGAGTATAGGAAATTGAGGGGTGACCTTATAGAGGTTTATAAAATCATGAGGGGCATAGATAAGGTGAATGACAAGGGTCTTTTCCCTAGGGTGGGGGAGTTTAAAACTAGGGGTCATATTTTTAAGGTAAGAGGAGAAAGATTTAAAAAGGACACGAGGGGCAACATTTTGACACAGAGCATGTGGAATTAACTGCCTGAGGAAGTGATGGATGCAAGTACAGTTACAACATCTAAAAGATATTTGCATAAGTACATGAATTGGAAAGGTTTAGACGGATATGGGCCAAATGCAGGCAAGTGGGACTAGTTTAGTTTAGGAACATGGTCAGCATGGACTAGTTGGAATGAAGGGTCTGTTTCCATGCTGTACGACTTTATGACTCTAAACTCCATCTGCCACTCCATGGCCCATTGGCCCATCTGATCAAGGCCCTGTTGTACTCTTCTTCACTGTCCACTACGCCATCTATTTTGGTGTCATCTACAAACTTACTAACCATACCTTCTATATTCACATCTAAATCAATTATGAAAATGATGAAAAGCAGTGGTTCCAGCACCGATCCTTGCAGCACACCACTGTTCACGGAACTCCACCACCACACCCTGTCTCCCACCTTCAGGCAATTTTGTATCCAAATGGCTAGCTCCCCCGGATCCCACGTGGTCCAACCTTACTAACCAATCTACCGTGCAGAGCCTTATCAAACACTGTACTGAAGTCCATATAAAGAAAGTCATCCACTCTGCCTTAATTAATCGTCTTTGTCACCTCTTCAAAAAACTCAGTCAAGTTAGTGAGACACGATTTCCCCTGCACAAAGCCAAGCTGACTATCCCAAATCAGTCCTTGCTTTTCCAAATACATGCAAATCCTGTCTCTGAGGATCCCTTCCAACAACTTACCCACCACTAACCTAAAGCTCACCGGTCGTTCCCTGGCTTTTCCTTACCACCTATCTTAAATAATGGCACCACATTAGCCACCCTCAAGTCTCTGGCACCTCACCCACGACTTTTGATGATACAAATGTTTCAGCAAGTGTCCAGCAATCTCTTCCCTAGCTTCCCACAAAGTTCTGGGAAACACCTGATCAGGTTCCAGGGATTTATCTACTGTTATATGTTTTAAGACCTCCAGCATCTCCTCATTTGTAATATGAACTCTTTATAAGACATCACTGTTTATTTCACCAGGTTCCCTAGCTTCCATGTCTTTCTCCACAATAAATACTGACGCAAAATAGTCATTTAGTATGTTATCCATCTCCTCTGGTTCCACAGACAGATGGCCACGCTGATCTTTAAGGGACCTTATTCTCTCCTTAGTTACACGTTTGCTCTTAATGTAATTATAGAATTGCTTTGGATTCTCCCTAACTATATTTGCTGAAGCTGTTTCATGTCCCCTTTTTGCCCACCTGATTTCCCTCTTAAGTATACTCCTACTGCCCTATACTCTTCTAGGCATTCACTAAATCCCTGCTGTCTATACCTGACAAATGCCTTCTTCTTTTTCTTGAAAAGAGCCTCAATTTCTCGCATCATCCAGCATTCCCTTCACCTACCAGCCTTGCCCTTCACACTAACAGGAACAAACTGTCTCTGAGCTCTCATTATCTCATTCTTAATGGTCTCTGATTTCCCAACCGTCCCTTTATCTGCGAATAGCCTCCCCCAGTCAACTTTGGAAAGGTCCTGCCTAATACTATCAAAATTTGTCTTAATCCAATTTAGAACTTTAAATTTCTGATCAGTTCTATCCTTTCGCATCACTATTTTAAAACTAATAGATTTATGATCACTTGCCCCAAATTGTTCCCCCACTGACACCTCAGCCACTTGCCCTACCTCATTTCCCAACAGAGGTCAAGTATAGCCCCTTCTCTAGGAGGTACATCCACATCTTGAATAAGAGGGTGTTCTTGTACACACTTAATAAATTCCTCCCTGTCCAAACCCTTAAAATTCTGGCAGTCCCAGTCTAATTTTGGCAAATTAAGATCCCTTACCATTGCAACCCTATTTTACTTATAGATATCAGAGATCTCCTTACATATTTGCTTCTCAAATTCCTGCTGACTATTGGAAGGGGGGGCTATAATACAATCCCAACAAGGTGATCTCCCCTTTCTTGTTTTCAAGTTCCACCCATATAAACTTCAATGGACAATGTCCCAGGGGTATCCTCCCTAAGTTTAGCCGTAACATTCTCCCAAAGCAAAAATGCCACTCCCCCTCCTCTCTTGCCTTCCTTTCTATCCCTCCTATAGCACCTATACCCTGGAACTTTAAGCTGCCAGTCCGGTCCATCCCTGAGCCATGTTTCTGTAAGAGCTTGTAGCAGAACTTCCAAGTAGTAACACATGGCGTGACCTTGTCTATTCCCAAAGCTGGTAAATGGGAGACAAACCTGAGTAGCATTGGCATTACTGGGTGTCCAGGCACTTGACAGAGTGAACAGGGTTTGGGAACTTACCCAGAATCAGCCCATCTCTCAGAGCTGTCCTCATCCTTATCAAAACTACTGCCTCGTCCACTCCTTGTGGATTTAGAAAGTGGTCCTGACAAAAGGAAATCTGATGTCCAGGCAGCTTTGTGAAATTAATTCTCTGCTGTTATTGTCTCACCTCCCAGTCCCATTGTGTCAAAGAAAGGGACCCTGCACTTCCTGGAGCCTCAGACCAATGGCTGGGTGAAGCGTTATGTGGTTGTACGGCGGCCGTACGTCTACATTTACAATACCGATAAGGACACAGTGGAGCGAGCCATCCTCAACCTATCAGCAGCACAAGTGGAATACAGCGAGGACCAACAGGCCATGCTCAAGGTAACAAAATCTGCTTTCTTCATTCCATACGACTGCAGCGAAGGGCTGAAATCTTGGGGGAAATGCCACTGTGCTGTTTCAGGGAGAAAAGATGGATGATGCCTCCCTGACCCTACAGTTTGATTCTGCCCTCTTGAAGATTCCTTGCTGTTGTGTCCCATATTTCACCATGAAAGTTTAGAAAATTTTCCCTTGTCTCTATGACAGCATTGCACTGGACAGTATACCAGTTCAATCGTCCTCCTACCACTGCCTAATGCCACCCAGGACTGTATCTGATCATCTAACACAGACCCAGCCACCCAACTATGACTGACCATCCACCCCTCACTCAACAAACCGCGAATGACCATTTCCTGACACCTCATCCCAGACCACGACTGATAGTTGACACCCCGCCTCATCCCAGACTGTGACTGATCATCGACAGCCCCATCCCAGACTATGTCTGACCATCTACACCTCCCCATTCTAGACCATAACTGACCATCTAAACCCAGCATTCCCCACACACCCCTGCACTGAATCCCAAACCATGACTGACCTTTGAGTTGTGTTCACCCCTAAGGCTGTGGCTGAACATATATGCACCTCCACCTATCCCAGACTCTATCTGAGTACACCCTACTTCCAACTCTTACACATACGCACACACACAAGCACACACATGCATACAGACACACACACACAACAGTTTTGGGCATATTCTACCATTTACCCACAATCTATTTAAATCTACCCAACCTGTTGCCTTGGCCTTCAAACCCACTTGGTTATGCAGTGTCTGGAATTAATTGTTGTCCCCTTTCCTTTTCTCCATGCCTTTCAAAACTCAATGGTGGAGTATTGGTCAAACCTGTTGTTGGATTATTGGTGGGAGGAAGGATTATCCCAGGTTTTGTAGAAATGGGTGAAACACCAATATCTAACAGAGCTGTTGGGCCTCAACTTTGTTCTTCGAAGAGCAAAGAGCACTACAGCACAGGAGTAGACCCTTCAGCCCATGAGGTCTGTGCCAACACATGATTCCTTCTTAAAATAAAAACCTTTTGCCTCTACATGATCTATATCCCTCTATTCCCTGCCTATTCATATATCCGTCAAGATGCCTCTTAAATGTTGCTATTGTATTCACCTCCTCTACAACTGCATTCCAGGCACTTACCACCCTCTGTGTATAAAGCCTGGCACTCACATCTCCTTTAAACTTACCCCCTTTTACCTTAAATCTATGTCCCCTAGTAATTGACATTTCTGCCCTGGGAGGAAGACTCCTACCGCCCATTCTCTACATGCCTCTCATAATTTTGTAGACTCTATCAGGTCAGCCCTCATCCTTTAAGATTCAAGTGAAAACAAACCAAGTTTGTCCAATCTCTCCTCATACTTAATATCTTCCAAACCAGGCAACATCCTGGTAAACGGTTTCTGTACCCTCGCCACATCCTTCTGGTAGTATGGTGACCAGAACTGTACACAATATTCCAAACGTCCTTGGGAAACACTCAGTGTCCAATACATTGCCTGTCCAGACCATGATAAAAACATTCAGCAGTGAGCTACCCGTTTCTTTAAAGCCTATTCAGCTCATGTTTGCAACGCTCCCTTGAATGGCCTTCATTGCTGACCCTCTCATTTGTACTGTTCTTATGTTGCAGACTCCAAACACATTTGCTGTCTGCACTGAGCACCGTGGGATACTACTGCAAGCCTGCAACGATAAAGAGATGCAAGACTGGCTGTACGCCTTCAACCCCCTCCTTGCCGGGTCAATCAGGTAAATCGCCACCCAGGGGGCTGGATTCTTACTCAGATTTGTCAAAAAAAGATCGTAGGCTGCCCAGAATTTGGGATTCCTCCACACGTGCTGTGGATTGGGATGGACACAGAAGAGTGACTATTGATGGAGGGTCCTTGGCCAAATAACTGAATCCAGGAGCCGGGTGCGAAGTCACTCCACTCCAGTATGTGCTGGGTCCTCACCTCAATGAGGCTGCCAGATTTCTCTGAAACTTGGGAATGACTCCAGTCATATTGGAAACAAAAGCAAGATATTGCAGATTTTGGAAATTGGAAACAGAGACAGAGAATCCTGCAAATGGTCAGTGGGTCAGGCAGCAACTGGAGACAGAGAAACAGAGTTAACGTTTTAAGTCAATGACCCTTCATCAGACTGCATTTGTACATGGGCACCATTAGAAATCCCAGATTCAGCACAGCCCATGGGAATTATCCAAGAAATTGAAGCTTCCGCAGGACAAATTCCCCTTGGTTTCGAATCCTCTGAAACAAACCCTTAAGTTCAGAGACAAGGGAGATGATTAAAAATTCTGAGTTCACCACCTGGTTAACTGATAAGCTGACCCCAACTTCATTGCTCTGACCTCTTACATCCCCAGGATGCCTGGCGACCATCCTGCCCAGAACCAGATCTCCCAAACCCAACATGATTCCCCCTTCCCCCTCCCAGGACCCAACATCCACCGTCAAATGCTGTCCTGGATCTCCAGCACCAGATATAGCCCTGTGCTGTTTACAATACACTCCCATGCCAGCCCCGCCACCCGTCCCCATTGCTGGTCAACCCCCTTCCCAAACGGACGTGAAATCCTTCCTCACCCATTGGTCTCAACGTGCCGTTGCACCCCACTCCCCTCCCCACACTCCTCAGTCATTGAACCCAACATGCTCCACCCACCAAAACTAAACCCCTTTATCACTCATTTGCCAACCTGCCCATCTGTCACCTTAACCCCCTGCACCTAATCTGCATGGCACCCTATTTGCCTGTCACCCTGGCACCCTAACGTCTTAATCATCTGGCACTCTAACCCCACATTTTTATACCTAATCTACAACAGCAGCTGTCATAGTGTCTGGCTGTTGAAAAGTTTAGAACGTGGCATGCTGCCCCCTGCAAATCAGGGTATGGTTTGACTTCTCCCTGCTATCCTGCAGTACAGGGGAGCTGTGTTGATTTCAGCTTTGCTCCACATTTCTGAAGTAACTAGGATCAGAATTCCTTGCCAGAAATGTGGAGTTCAGTACGAATACAAAGAAAATGATGAGTGGAGTGTCAATCTGAATGTGAATGCCATTGCTCAGAATATCCAGGCCATTAACTTTGTTTCTCTCCACAGATGCTGCCTATCCTGCTGAAAGTTTAAACCCCCAATGACATTGACGCTCGCAGCTTCATTATCATAAAAAGAGCCTTGGACAGACCTCAGCAAAATACAGAAATAGGGCATGTTCAAAGAGGGCTTGGACTGAGAAATAAATTTCCTAGCTATTAAACATCAATGCCCAGTCTTACAGTGAGGGCTTTCGGGTGTACCTGAGAGTGAAATAGTGAGGAGACTGGAAAGTATCAAACAGTGGTGTAGTGAGTAGTATTCTGTTTGAGTTGGTGGTTTTATAGTGAGAGTGTGGGTTGCATCTGATAGAATTATGGTGAGAGGCATGAGATGTATCATACAGTTTGATGACAAAAGTTGTGGGATATATCTATCAATATTAAAGTGGAATGTGTGGGATCCTTCAGACAGAGATATGCTGAGAGTTATGGAATATATCTGACAGTGTCATGCTGAGAGGTATGGGGTATGTCTGACAGTGTGCTCAGGAGGGCTGTAAGTTATATTAGCCAAAGTGGTAGTGAATGGTGGTGACCTTTATGACTATTATGCTTGTGAGCAATGACAGGATCAAGCCAACCCAACCTCTTGGGTGGACACAGGCTTTGTGTATCTTTTGAGCTTTAAGGGAGCTATATGTGATAAACATCCACTTTTATTGAGAATATTATTAATCTTAAGAGGTACGGGGGATTTTTATAGTGGGATGTTAAGGACATATCTGAGAATGTTACTGTGTGGGCTCTAGGATGTATCAAAGAGTATCATTGTTACTAGGACAGTTCAGTATAAGACTAGAATTACAATGCATTGAGCCATGTGGAGCAGGAGATTATGTTATAGTGAGAGTTATGGGGTGTATCTGAATGTATCGTGCTAAAGGTGTTCAAAACATTGCAGTGTGTGGTAACATTACTCTATATATTGTCTAGTATGGGACAGCACTGGTGACTTGCTGCATTGACAGAAGCTGTTTCACTTTTTCCTGCAGATCAAAGCTGTCCAGAAGGAGAAGCAGTCAGATGAGGATCTGATAGAAATCCTTGAATCAAATGAAATTCCACTCAAACCCAGTGACATCAGACTGGACTCATGTACATAATCAACCCAGCCCTTCCAGCATTGATGTGAATGCCCATCTAACATGCCTGCTCTACATGTAGTCATTTATTGAGGAACAAAAATTAATAGTTGTGTGAAAGCAAAAACTGTGTTCGCCTGGCGCTGGGGAGCGCCGTGTTACGTGTGCGTGTGATGATCTGTGTGTCTTCAGTAAGTGATTAGATATCACTGATGAACGAGCTCCGTGGTGTGGACACTAGATGCTGTATGTGTTCCTTACGTTTTTTTTTTGATTGGGGTGTTTGAGGGCTTGATGAGGGGAAAGGGTGTTGGCGACATTTTGTGGCACTAACAGTCATTTCCAGCAGAAAGGCTGAAATGGGTGGTGCAGTGCATTTGGACACAATCCTTTCCAAGAGTTTTGGTGTATCTCTTGGGAAGGATAAAGAAGCTGGTGGCTGAATGAATGAGAGCTTCTCATTGAGGAGGTTGGCACTGGCAGAGCCCATGCTGATTTGCCTACTGAATTATCCCCTTAAAAGCAAATTTGGCCTCCCTCCCAAAAGGCACCATGAGTTGTTTGAAATTTATTCCTGAGAAGGAGGAGTTTATTTTTTGTGGGAAGGAAGGAATTGTCTATTTAGGCAGGTGAAACCGAAGAAGAATTGTAAAGTTGGGAATCCTGGAGGAGGAGTAAAAGGGTAAATGTATATATTTCATGTTCAGCTCTATAATGATCGTGAATTCTTAATCTTGAATAATAAATGTTACTGCTGAGGTTGGTCATTCCTGTCCTCTCCCCTCCCCACACTCACATGTTTGGGTAGCCCTTGCCCACCTGCTTGCCCATGTTCATGTGGTCTGTTTGGAGTTTTGTGGACCATCTCAGCACCGGTGTGGCACAGGACCTGAAAATTGCAATGTTTTGTAAGTGAGTGGCCTTGGAAGTGAGCTGTGCTGAATTTCCGAATCCATGGCTGATGCAGGAGATGCCAATGCCATCAGCATCATGACCCTCAACTGGTTCATCCAATGATAGGTTGGGGCTAGGGCCAAGGCTTAGGATGGACAATGATTTCAGATTGCTTTCTCTTGACTGTTTACGTCAAACATTTCTAAATGCTAGCGTTGCTACCTCTCCAATTCCTTCAGATTTGGAGAATCAGCCCTGTTTGCTCCATGTTTTCTTTTGGGCAGCAAAGAAGCTCATGGGCCTGTTCTGATCTGGGACAGTTTCTCCTGTTGGCCCAGATGTATTGACAAAGGTTAGCTGCATGGCATAGGATGTATTAGCTTTGAAACATAGAAGCAGTGTACATCTGAGATTAGCACACAATTGGCCAATGTGAAGCACGTTTTTATTTAATTGGAACACTAAACTACAGCTGGTGGTTGCATTCTCAGTGTTGTAAGCAAGTTGAGTGTTCTATCTGGGTGGACTTTAAGGCTTTGTGGTGGGGTGGGGGGACGGTGGAGGGGGCAGAAGATTGGGGACTGGTAGGCTTTCATTCATTCCTTCAATGTTCAAACTTGGAGTAGACATTTTGATCTTGCAGCATTGTTATGGGGTCATGGCTTCAAACGTTGGTCAAAATTTCATCCAGCCCACATAACACCATGTGGGCTGCAGACATGTGATGATAAAGATCTCCATAAGCCCTATGGTGCTTTATTTAAACCAAATACAAAGGGAAGGCTATCAGTAGCCGTACACCCTCCATCCACTCCCATGCTGTCGAGATGGAAAGGAAAATATCACTTGCTTCCCAGGATCCTGCAGTATCCTAAATTCAGCATATAAGTCACATCTATATGTACATCGCATCCATGTATTATGGTTGTTGTGTTTTGTTGAAACTTAAGAGCTCACTGCTGTGTGTATGTTGCACCCCTCTATTGATAAGGCTATGTTGTATTCTACTGGCTACTGTAAACCATCAATGTAACATCATCCAATTCAAGCTCAATGCAGGAAGATTGCTGCTAATTGCTCAATTGCTGCTAAGTAGAAAACCACAAACTGATAGCCTGATAGTACTGCAACTGAACAAGATGCCCCACAGGAACGTGAAGTCACAAAATCTATTCAGATCAGCCGGCCTGTAAACCTGTGGGTAATGAGATCACCTGGAGGCATATTGAGGGATACGGGGTAGAAGTTCACAAAGGCTAGAACAGTGAAAAAGTAGAATTCTCTTGCCCTGAAAAATCTATTCAGACTCGGTCAATTCAAAACTGTAAAACTGACACTGCAAGGGTATTAAGCATTACGAAACCAAGTCAGGGATACAGAATTAAGGTACAGGTCAGCCAAGATTTAGTTGACAGGCAGAAAAGGCTCGATGGTCTTACATGTTCCTGTATTGAAAGAATCAATCATCAATTGTCATTTCAGAAATTGGTCTGGTGGGTTTACAGCATTTTTCTGCTCTTTGTCACCATCTAGTGATGTCTACTGGAAAGGGTGCGTAAACACTCAGTTGAAATCAGTAGTAGACTTGGTTGTGATGCCTGCATTGTAATATTCTGCTTACAGCACAAATGATCGCTTTAGAGAAGATGGCCAATCTTGGAGACACCATATGATGGCCATTGACTTAAAGAGATGGGGAATTGGCTTGAGTATAGGGGAGTCCACATGAAAACAAATTATTGAGTGTCTGGAACAATAGTACAACTTCCTTGTATCTGGAGAAGCACATTCAAACATTAGTCATTACTCGTTGTTCTATTCCAGAGGCCTACATACACTTGGGAGCAGCTAGAAAGTATGCTACACTATAAGTTGTTTCAGTGGTTTGGGATTTATGGGATGAGCTATGTCTTTCTCTAACCCTGTCCTAACTGCTTCCCGATTCATGGTAGCCTGGATAGAATTGTTAGAAATCCTTGGAGTAGAAGACCCCATGTTCTGAAAAATTGGTTTATGTTCACAAGTTTGACTCCTTATACTTGAAACACTAGAAGTGTAGCATAGAGTCAGAGAATCGTACAGCACCAATTCACGCGTGCCAACCAGACATTCCAATCTGACCTAGTCCCATTTGCCAGCATTTGGCCGATATCACTCTAAACCCTTCCTATTCATATACCCATCCAGATGCCTTTTAAATGTTGTAATTGTACCAGCCTCCACCACCTCCTCTGGCAGCTGATTCCATACACGCACCACCCTTTGTGTGAAAAAGTTACCCCTCAGGTCCTTTCTAAATCTTTCCTGTCTCACCTTAATCCTATGTCCTCTAGTTTTGGAGTCCTCCATCCTAGATAAAAGACCTTGGCTATTCACCCATGCACCTCATGGTTTTATAATCCTCTATAAGTTCACCCCTCAGTCTCTGACACTCCAGGGAAAAAAACCCCAGCCTATTCAGCCTCTCCTTATAACTCAAATCCTCCAGTCCCAGCAACATCTTTGTAAATCTTTTCTGTACCCTCAAGTTTAACAAGGGCGACCAGAATTATACACAATATTCTAAAAGTGGCCTCACGAATGTCCTATAGAGCCACAACATGACGTCCCAGCTCCTATACTCAATGTTATGACCAATGAAGGCAAGCATGCCAAATGCCTTCTTCACCACCCTGTCTACCTGCGATACCACTTTCAAAGAACTAAGCACCTGCACCTCTAGGTCTCTTTGGTCAGCAACTCTCCCCAGGGCCCTACCATTATCTGGATAACTCCTGCCCTTGTGTGCCTTGCCAAAATGCAGCACCTCACATTTATCTAAATTAAATTCCATCTGCTACTCCTTGGCCCATTGTCCCATCTGATCAAGTCCCTTTATACTCTGAGATAATCTTCTTCATTGTCCACGACACCACCTGTTTTGGTGTCACCTGCAAACCTGTACATAAATGATGAAAAGCAGTGGACCCAGCACTGATCCTTGTGGCACACCACTGATCACAGGCCTCCAGTCTGAAAAGTAACCCCCCACCACCACCCGCTGTCTCTTACCTCCATGCCAATTTTTTATCCAAATACCTGGCTCCCCCTGGATTCCGAGTGACCTAACCTTGCAGAACCTTATCGAACACTACCATGCAGAACCTTCTTGAACACTTTGCTGAAGTCCATATATACAATTTCGAACACTTTGCCTTCATCAATCTTCTTTGTTGCCTCTTCAAAAAACTCAATCAAGTTAGTGAGACATGACTTCTCACACACAAACCATGCTGAGTAATCCCAATCACACCTTGCCTTTCTATTGTATATCAATCCTCTGTGAGACAACTATACAGATTTAAATGAACAAAACAATTTTACAATAAGCTGTGGTATAGAGTTCAGTAGAGATGGTATTAGACTGTTGTCTAATTTTCAATACCCTCTGAGCCACTCCATCTTGATTTGGAACTATATCGCTGTTTCTTCACTGCTGTTGGGTCAAAATCCTGGAATTCCCTTCCTAAGAGCATTGTGGATGTACCAACATCACAAGGACTGCAGCAATTCAAAAAGGTGGCTCACAACCAATTTCTCACGGCCAATTAAAGAAGGACAAAAATTGCAGACTTTGCCAATGATGCCATATCCCCTGAAAGAGTAGAAAAGTCTAATATCGCACAAATCCCAAATAAATAGCAGCTGAAGCCTGCACCTTAACTGGCCAATTTCCACTGCCTTCCATTGAACTGCGGAAAACTGAAACCTCGAAAGGATTGAAGATTCATATTTTATAAGGTGTAGTCTTAATACTAATTTTTGATTCAAGAATAAGCACCCATGGTCCCATTTTCTTACATTGACAATAAAGTGGTGTCAAAGACAAGTAGTAGGTGGAGTGAACCAGCCAATGTCATTTGCCAGAGCAGAATTGAGACTATTAGTCCAAAGCCACTATTCAAGGCTGTTTGAGTTGCACAGCAGACATAACTTCGGCCAGCCAGCCTATGTGTATGTCTAACTACAAGACAGGATCAGATGCTGTTTCAAAGCCTCTTTCACCGCAGTGTAACAGGAAGCCAGGGACGTGCCTTAGGCCAACCAACCTACAGAGCATGCATAGACTGGGAAAGCTGGAGGCCTGCGAGGAAGAGGGGTTAGTAAGTAAGGTGATTTTAGCACAACGCTCTCACTTCTGCTCTGCTTGACTAATGGTTGCCCAGTCCTTCACCAGAGGAAAAGCCCAGTGTTTCCTGGGAAGGGACCTTGTTGTCCAAATTAGGTGTGTTCCATCATGATGTTGCTTCTGCAAAATCATTACCGGTTGATATTCAATAATTTGAAAATTATATTCACTTGGTTTTCCTAATTTACAAGTAACATTGGCATTTAACAAAAACTGAACTGCTTTCCTTAGATTGACATCAGATGTTTAATTAGCAGGACAGGTCTTATGGGGTTGCGAAGTTAGGAAATAGAAAATGTCTTTTAGCTCAACAGCTTATCTCTTCCCCCTAAATAAATCTAATTTAAGTGCCTTCTTATCTTATCCATCAATATAATCTCTTCATATTTTCAAGTTATCCCCGAGTCCAACCTATACACTTTTGTACCCTATCCCTCAGCTCACCTCCTTTTCACTGTATCCATGAGCACCATCTTGCTACTTTCTCACCACATCATTGCACCTTTCCCCCAAAACATGTCTAATCATCTCTTGAACCACTTCTACTCATACCCAATCTCTCCATTTTTGACTTTTCTCTCTGTGATTTGAATATTCCAAACTGCACCAACTTGTCTCGGCCAAATAATCTCCTAAATGACGCTGCTGCCAACTGTAAGACAGGGTAGGAAAAAATGCAGGTTGGGAGA